AAAATTAACATTGCCCCTGGATGACCCCCCAAAAGTTCCCATACAAGAATTCCCATGAACTGTCCGCTCTTTACTATAGAGGGGACCTCTGCATCCCCTTAGGGAAGATGCCCTTGGAGAGCCACAGCGGATGGAGGCACCTTTTTACAGAAGAACGGGTCCCTAAGCAGACCTGAACCCTGGGGAAGAGGAGTGACCCATTTCTCCCCCAGGCCTTTCCTCTTTAAGACAGTGATTAACACATGTTAAAACTGTCACCTTTAAATTTGTTAAATAAAATATTGGACAAACAAACGCTGATATTCTGTAATTACCTTTCTTATGAAATACTATGTGTATTAATTAAGAAAATCAAAAAGAAGTTGATACAATTTTATAATTGTAATGTGACATTTTATAGTACGGATTGAGCATTCCATGTTACGCCATTTTTGAATAAATAGGGCAGTTTATATTCATGTTTGGGGAGGTGGTTTTTAAACGTCCCTGGGAATTATTGTGACTTTACTCAATATTAACCATTATATCAAGTTCAAGGCAGGCTCATCAATAGTAGTGCCTATAATTATTTCAGGAAGTCTTGGTAATTTTAATTATATTGGAAAGATGCAATTTTTATCCATTTTTTCTTTTAACTAATTATTTTAAGCGTTCAAGGGTAGAATGTGCAGGTTTTATGTAGGGTAAACCTGTTGCTCATGGGGTTTGGTGTACAGATTATTTTGTTCACCTTGGTATCAAGTATAAGGTACCCAATAAGTATTTTTTCCTGATCTCTCCTCCACACTCAATAGGCCAGTGTCCATGTGGATGTGCTTCCCATTATTTAGCGCCACCTTAATGGAAAACATATGGTATTTGGTTTGCTGTTCCTGTGTTATTTTGCTAAGATAATGCTCCAGCTGCCCATGCATCCATGTTTCTGCAAAGAACATTATCTCATTCTTTTTTAACTGGCTGCATAAATATATCAATGTTGTAATATATATCATGTTTCTTAGCCAGTCTACAATTGATGGACCATTTAGGCTGATTCCCATGTTTTGGCCTATTGGAACAGTGCGCCATTCGTACATTGTCTTATTAATGGGCAGAAAAAGATTGATATTCCTTTGGTTATATACCAGTAAATGGGGTTGCTAAGTCAATGTAACAGATTGGTTTTTAGTTCCTCTGAGGAATCGGCCACCAAACCACTTCCATAATGGGGGCCGAACCTAAACTTAACGCTCCCATCAGCAGTGTATAACATTTGATTCCCTTTTCTCCCACCACCCAGAGCACTTGCC